CATTGTTTGGCTGGTTGCGGGTATCAAAGTTGTTACCGCCAAATGGACCAGGTGGTGGGTTATTGCGCACATCAAAGCCATTGTTGCCAAAACCATTGTTAGGTCCATTGCTGCGGGGGTCATTATTAAAACCATGGCTGTTCGGCCCATTCTGATATTCCGGAACCCTGCCATTGCTCGGGGCAAAGTTGTTGCCCGGAGCATTTGGCTGCCGTGGACCGGAGAACTGCCGAGACTGGGGTGGTGGGCGCACATTCACAAAGCCGGGTCCAGGTGGTGGGTCTTCATATTGACCTGTGGAAGGGTTGAATTCCGAACGAGCACTTTGCGATGGCGAAAATTTCTCATACTTGGTGGCGTCCCACCCGTCATTGTTTCTTGTCGACGACGAAAACAGTCCTCTACTATTAGCACGAACAGCTACCGAACGAGGAGACGAGATCCAAGCCGAAGACACCAAACCAAACGCCCACAAGAGCAACATCTTTGTTTTTAGACCCATCATGCCTCGATTAGTTTCGTTTATGAGCTGATGCAGCAGCTGATGCCACAAACATCATTCTGCTTTGGAAGAACAAAACGATCTGTGGGGGGCAATGGGAGCTCGAAGAAGCAACGAACGACTGCTTGTGTCTGACGTGGCCTCAATCGAGGCCATTGATTGGATAACCATTTTGACGAGTCATACGATTCTAGCATAAGAGTGACCTGGATTAAGTAAATTTGCGTAAAATATACTAATTTTGACAAATTTGCTTTTCACAAGGTAGCACACTTGATTTGAGAATTGCAAATCAGCAGGCTGGCATACATCCTGTTACATTCACGGGGGTTTTAGAGTAGGGAAATTATCTACGGAAGCCAGCCGGGGCCAGGCTTAAGCAAAGAACAGTCGAAATTCAGGACTAGGTTCTGTGGGATCAGGGGCAAGAAAGTGACGACCATTACGGTGGGCAAAGGTGGAGACATAAATGGGTAGCTTTTACAAGGGCAATGGAGATACGGGTCTGCATGAAAAACATCATTTGAGAGTAGGAAAACTGAGTTTTGGAGGCATCAAGCCGTTGTAAGAGAATCTTGGCTTGGGGGGCAAGCATGCCATCCACTGAAACAACAAAGGGATGGAAGGAAGCACGATTGGAGTCGCACG